TTAGGAATAATTCATTTAGAAGCTACATGGGCCTCTTCTTCTTTTCATCCCTTCCTCTCAGTTCATCTATCATCATTAATTCATTCAGCCGTCCCTTCATTATTGTAATTTGTTCAGTTCAGTGTGCTTTATTGGCCGTGCTAAGTGGTGTTGGCTTGTGCCATCAGCGATTCGTTCCATAATCTCTCTCTTTCTATCTAATCACTCTTACCGAACTCATCTGCAGAGAAATGCTGCGTCCAGAAAGACTGGCCATTGGTCAGTTTCATTTCGTACTCCAGCCGCAAGCCATCCCCCTGCAAGAGAGGAGCCGAAGCAGACAGGGAGAAAGAGAAAGAGGGAGGGAGGAGGCAGGTGAGACTAAGTGTATTCTCTTGTATTGTTACAGGCTTTGTGATCTGTACAAAGTATACATTAATGCTTAAAGCTGCACTGGACAATTCTGCAAGTTGAAGTGGCAGTGAGAGGCAATTCTTTAGATGTATTTTTAAACATTATTCCTGTGACATTTTGCTTTTTCCATTATAAATCTGACAATGGAGACCTACAGGACCTTTGGGAAGAGAAAAGAAATATGTTAACTGGACTTAAAACCAGACTTTCACACTTAGTGTATGAACCTAGGAGTGCTGGATCACCCAGGCAGCAGAAGTAGGAAGGAATTAAATTCGAGCAGGGCACACTGAAGAAATCAAGTATTACAACATCTTGATATTTACACATGAGAAGGAAATCATTTAAGTCAAACTGAAAGTAAATTAAATTGCATGTTTGCCTTAAATGATTACTGCAAAAAGCATCAGTAAATCACATCAGCTATGTTCTCCTTTGAAAAATCAAATCAGACACCAAAAGGCAGAAATGTATACGTTACAGGTCTTAGTTTCATGATGGTGCTCCTTATCTTTGCATTAATAGTCTGAATACTTTTAATTCTCTGTCTTACTTAATCTGTCAATATGTAAAACAAGATAATGAACATTTCCACAAAACTCTTCTTTGTTATTTAAAAAAGAAAAAAAGTTACATGTTGTCTTAACAAGCATGCAAAAACTTGCAAACTGCAAAAAGAAGGAGGAAAATTGTGATACAAAAGGTCCAATGTGTAGGATTTAATATCATCTAGCAAAACAATTCTTATTTTCAGGTGATTAATGAAAACATACCTATAAATATTATATTTCATTTCTGCCAGTAGATCCTCCTAAATGTTACTCACTGGACCTTTAAATAAAACACTATCTAAAAGAATAAACAGAACAGAACATGACTTATACTCAGTCAGTACCAAAAAAACAGAAGTTTTGAAGTTTGATGCATTTATTATGTTGATAGTGTATGATGACTAAGAAAGTAGAAGCTTTTATTTATCAGCGCACAGAAAGATCACAGACGATCAACAATGCAGCCTTTAAGACCAGGAAAACAAAAATATACCACTAAATTAGGAAAATATGAATCCCAGAGGATCTCTTTTCTCATATCCAGATGTCAACACATCACCCTGCTTTAACTCCTACACTCAGAAACCATATACGGTACAGTATCTGTAAACTGCACATTCATGATAAAAACTATCTTACGTTGCTCGCTTACTGCTGATCATGAGACAGTTTTGCTTTTCTAATATCACTGATTCATCATTTTCTGCAGCAGAAATTTTCCACTGATGTCCATTCTTCACACCAGGATGTTATGTGAGTGAACAGCGCAAATTAACCACATCAGTGGATTCTTTGGAATTTGTGTTTTTAAATAGAATTCCTGCCTCCCACAACTTTAAGTTTAAATAACGCAGCCCAGATTTCTTCCAACCTTGCCTGTTACAAGATGAGGAAACCATCCAAATCTTCCTTGGGGGAGGGACACACTGTTGGTTTAGCTGCTCAGTATAATTGTGCCATATCACCAGTCAGTCCCCCAGCTGGCTCAAAAGTGCCTCAGGATCCCCCAGGTGTGCTGAGGAAGTTAGAGAAATAAAAAGGAATCTAGGCTGTTTTGTGCTGCCAGGGAGAACATGACCCAGATTAACAAGAACTGGATGGCTAGATCATATCCATAGCAACAGTTTTATCTGATTCAATATGTGACACACATCACTGATTTGTTAGGTTGATTTTAATCCGATCAGATATAATTGTTCTTTATTGCATAACAATGTTATGAAAGAAAGCACAGAAAGAGAATATCTGGGGATGTAAATGTGCAGGGATACTGTGGAGACACCACAGTTGGAATGGTGTTAATCTTTGGAAGTCACACGAGAAAAAAGTGTCAAACTGAAGTGAATTTGGGAGGTGAGAAAAAAAGAGGGATGGGGAGCAGAGAAAAAGAGAGAAAAGGGGGGGGGGGTCAGAGATGGGTTGACAATCAGAGCACAGAGAGCTCATTTCACACACACAAGTTCAAAGCCGATGGAGTTTGCGCTTGTTGCGGTGGAGCGAGGAAAAAGAGAGAGGGAGGAAAAAAGACTTTGATTTCATTTGGCAGCCTGAGACTCCATCTCACTCCCTCTATCAAAAAGGGCGAGAAGCATGGAGTGTGCACTGCCACAAAATCAATACAGACACAAAGAGCAAGGAGACAGAGATAAAGAGAGTGATAGATATAGAGAGGGAGAAAGTTAAAAAAAACAGGTGCAGAGAAAGGAGTGAAAGAGAGATGGATGAAGGAGAGAAAGGATAGATAAGGGAAGAAGTGGCACTTCACACAGCAGGGATTCTCTCTCTGTGGGACTGACAGGAGGAGTTTGGTGGGTTGCTTGTTGGTTTCAGGTGTAAAAGGTATCTGCTTCTGATATACTGTACTGATATATCACACACTGAAGGTGTCTCACCCAAACACCTGTGCAGTCTTGTATATCTTGTGCTCCCCTGGGCTGCTGATAACTGCATTTAAAGAGGACTTCTGAAAGTCTTTTGAGAGTGTGAATCTTGTCTCTGGAACATTAAGTGTTTGTATAGCTTAACAGTTTAGGGCACCTACCTCAGTGTGAAAAATGAGTGTGCACAGTCAGTTATGCACACTGGACGCCTAAACCAAGTATGTGGACACCCAAGCATCTTATCCATATGTGATTGATAAAAATGTCATTACAAAATCATGGACATTTAATTAATAAATTGCAAAATAAACATTGAAGAAGCAGAGGTAATGATACCCTGACTTTTAGTCACAACCAGTGGTGGTAAAAGTATTTAGATCCTTAACTTACTAAACCTACTGAAAGTAACAATACCACACTGTGAAAATACTCCGCTACAAGTAAAAGTCCTGCATCCAAAACCTTACCAAAGTAAAATGATTAATTATTAGCAGAATTTAATTTTAAAGAATCCTAAAAGTACTTATTATGTGATGATGAACAATGACCCCTGTCAAAGTTTTACTATTATATATGTTGTTTTTGGATTAAACTACTGCTGCATTAATGTGTATGTTGCATTTTACTGCTGTAGATGTTTAAGGCTGAGATAATTGCTTAGAATTCTAACTTATTTTATTTTTATTATAATTAAACTATTTTATATTCTCTTACATAGTTTAATCTACAGCAATGCATCATTCTATAAGATAATCATATGTTTGTAGTGTCACTGTTCTGTGAGAACCATCTCTAAAAAGTCAACTTTTTATTAGTTTGTTTTCAGCTTTGTGACAATGCATTTTCCAGCTAATCCAAATAAATAATATATCATTTATTTAGCGAGAGTGGGAGATTCTCAACCCATCAATGTACAATAATTCAAATTCAAAATCATACCAAACCAAACCATAGCATATTTTTGGCCATTTAGTCTAGAGCTAACTATAATCTGACAAGAAGAGATAGAGAGAAATAATCACCAAATTCATAATAACTGTAGCAGATAATGAAAGTAATTGTTTGTTGCAGCCCTAAAAAAGTGTAATTTGACATACAAATAATATATTGAGCAAATATTCTAGCAGAATCACACTCTTAAATTTTGCACGTTGTGTTCACACTGTGAGCAAAACAATCTACAAATCATCAGGTCTGTTTGTTTCCAGTAAAGTATCTCTCCCAAACAACTTGCAACACTGTCAAATACTCCTGTTATTATTTCTTATTTATTACAATAAAGAAGTATAAAGTTTCAAGTCCAGACTGGCTCCCCATCTGGCACAGAAGGATACGATTAAGATCCTTCTTCTGTATGTGACTGTGCTGCAAGTCTTTATGAGAGATATAGTTTACAATTTTTCAACTGAGGCCTGAACAAAATACAGCAGAGGCGGGTGTGTTTCTACACGGTTTGTTCTATAAAAGATGAGTCACCTGGCCAAGCTGACAGCTGTGAAAGTTTGGACATTTTAGTGGCCTGCACCCATTAGCAGCAAGTCTAATTTCAGTGCTTCCTTGGCTCCATGCTGGGGTAATTTTGTTTCATTAACAGCAGTTCTGCTCAGCATAATAAAGCAGAGGTTGATTACAGCCATTCAAAGCTTTCAATTTCTCCACTTCTGTTTGAAAGACCACGAGAGTAAATGCCTCACAAACTAATGCTCAGACAACAGTGGCTGGGGTCAATGGCACACAATGGAGCCATGTTATTGAGTTGTTCTATTTTCTGTTTATTTTAAATTAATGGTGTAATTAGTTCTACCTAACGAGTTATATTACGGTAACTATTTAAAAAAGGCAGTACCAGAGAAATAAGGGTTATTTTCCTTTTTGGAAAGCTTTATAGCTATACACAGCTACACAAATGCAATTAGAGCTGGACTATACAGTGTGATATATGTATCACAATGGAAGTTTTTTAAAGTTTTAGAGACTATAAATTATTAAGAAAAGTACTTTTAATGCAAAGACATTTGCAAGAGAAAAAAAACAGTATTCAAGCCTGCTACTTTTAGTGAACTTTAGTTACTCTGGCAATTTACTTGTCTGAAAAACCTTCCTGCTGACTGCCAGAGGTCCTCTTCACTGTAATTTGTGATGACCTGAATTTTATTTATAATGACTAATCTTTTTTTTTTCTGCTGATGAAATAATGATTATTTGCAGCCTTGAGGTTTCCTACTATAATTAATCAAGTGAAATTTTCTGGAAATGTTAAATAACCTCTCATTTTACCATTTCATTCAGGCGAGTCTACATCCTCTGGTTTTAAGGGTTGAGGATTTCGAGTCAGATAAAGACTGAGATGGAAAGCACATGAAAGGAGAGCTGGATAAGAGAGAAAAGGGGACAAAGAGAGGAAAATATGTAGTAGCACACAAAAGTGATGGTGGCGAGAAAATGCATGGAATGAGCAGAAAGCAAAGAAAAAATGAGTCCAGTGAGCTGGCAAGATGGAAAGGAGAAACCCAATTAGAGACAGGCTGACAAAGAGGAAGAAGGAAAATAGTTGAGGTAAATAGATATGAAATGGCGTGGAGCGTGTCACAGCATGGTGACAGAGAGCTGAAAGAGAGCGGGACACAGCTGAAGATTGTGAGTGACAGAGGTAGGAAAGACAGAGAGGTGTGAAAGCGAAAGGGATCTGAGAAAGCGAGTGGCGGGAAACGAGGGGTGGAAATTGGCTGCGGGGTGCGCCATGCATATGTCCCCGGGAGTGGAGATGAGCTTTTATACTTTTGTCCAACAGCATTAGGCAGCGTGTCTATCAGCGGACGCTGGCGTGACACTAAACCACACTCCATGTGAAGCATCCCTTCTAATCATAACCCTCTTCAGCCAGCTCTCGCAACAGACAGCACAAAAACAAACCCAGAGGAAAAAAATCTCTCACTCAACCACACAATCATGACCAGGAGCACGACACTGATGTAACCCAGAGTATGACACTGATATGCAGGTAGACATACACATTCAGTAATAATACTTTTTCACCCTTTTCCTCACCCACTTTCACAAACATGAAAACACAGCACACATAAAAAAAAAACGACAGACGCACACACCTATTCCTAGGACTCACCCTTGACTGAAGCCCTCAGTGTAGGAGGATGTGTCATCATTAAGCAGAGCTATCATTTCACAAGTGTATGATTTCTCCAGACTCACATCAACAAACAACACACCACAGCTACCACTTTTTGCTCTTTTTCTCCCGGCTCACCATTACCACCACACAAAGTCCCATTATAAAACAACACAATGCTTAAAAGTCCCTGAAGCTAGCTAATCAATAGTCTACAGTGGAGCCCTTGTAAGGCATGTTTAGCACAGTTAAAGCGGAGAGTCGCATATTAAGAGCCTTTGTTGTTCAAAGCCCCATAACATGGTTAGAGAGAAAGCGTTTTGCGGTGTCCAGAGGTAATTCAAAGGAAGATGCACAGATTCAAGATCAGCTGTAATATATGAAAAGAGAAGGGTGGGGGTGTGAGGAGCATTTTGGCCAGAAATTATAATCATAAGCAATATAACATTTTGGTCAAAATCATTTGATAATCCTTAATAGATTATCAGTTTTTCAATTTGCAATCATTATCTCATTTGGATAAGTATTGTAAATCACAGGGTTAAATTTCCTAGCAGTTTTTTTTTTTTGCCTATTTCGATTACTTTGAGAATTTAAAATGTAGCCTGGTGCAAAATGCTCAAATGGGAAAGCACACAGGGACAAAAAATATGCTCAAGTTGATTTAAAATTTAAAGGCTGGAGCCACCACAAAAAAGAGCCTTAAAACATAGTTTTCATAGAGCCATCCTCAGGGTGTGCTGGGTATATTTTCGCCTCAGCTTTTCCCATTTTAATATCTGATGTTGCTACTTGCACCTGAAATCAGTTTTTTACTTGAATGCAAAATATCATTTGAAAATATTAAAATAGCTCCTTGACGCCACATTTCAATAAATGTATAGATGTCTAACACAAGAACATCTTCAGTTTTGATGGAAAGATGATGACGTTAATTATGATGACAATGGTGACGTTTGTGTATCTGAAGGGCAGCAGAAAACAAACACTGACTACACGGGTATGTTTTTTGTGTGAGCCCTGCGAGTTTGTTTGTGTGATAACGGCAGTGCGTCGCCATGGCAACCGCCTGCTAGAACACCTGGCCTTGTACAGAGGGAGAGCCAGTGGGGTTTGGGGGGGGGGGGCGTCAGGGGTCAGTGCTTACCCCACACTTGCTGAGAGCGATGTACCACCATCTCTCCCTCACCGAGCGGAAACTACGGCCACCCACGCAGCTCAGAACCTCTTCATTCCCGTCTCCCTCCACCTGAGACAAAGAGAGATATGAGAGGGGGGAGGTGTACGAAGAGGATGTTGTTATCCAAAAAGGCAGCACGTTTTTACCTCAGAGACACATTGAATTACCACAGTAGAGTGGGAGCCTGATATATCAAGATACAAACATATTTCACACCCTATTTTGGCTGATATGTGGAAACACTAAGCTCCACTAAGCGCCACAACAACAGAGTCACGCTGGCAATCACACTTCCTAATGTGAAACAAACACGTTGCGTTGCTTATTGAAAAGAGACTAAAGGAATATCTAGGATTGGAAAAGAGAGGCTAAAGGAATATCTAAAAGAAAAGAAAAAAAGAAAAAAAAAAAAAGGTGTTGCAGGAAAGAAAGATCTCTTTGACCCTTTCAGGTTGACTGGGATGCATCATCAACAGTGGAAATGTGTGAATCAGTAAAATGTTATGAAAACACTTTACAGGCCATTAGCTCTCACTGCCTCTCTCTCTACTCACTGCATTTGTTTACCTCTTTTACATATTTCTGTTCCTTTTTTGCATTACAAGACGAATATGCAATACGAAATAAGAAAATAGGTTCAACTGTGTGGCGATAAAAAGGAATAATGTGATATGCTGTAACGCATTTCATAACACAGAGAGGTCAGAGGTCAGCTATTCTCACAGAACAGCATCCCTGCATTAGCTTCTGGTAAGAGTATTTCTCAGGGACAGGATGCCACTCAGTTTGTATTAGCGGTGGTAGAAAAATTTGATTCTTAGATGCATTGCGACATGCAGAAAAGTCAATAATAGAAAATGGAAAAACTAAATTCTCGACATTATGATGGCCTGTAACAAAATAGTGTCTGGCTGCAGACAAAATGGCGTTTATGTCCCAAGATACGCTGCGTAGAGTGTGAGCAACCGAAGACGATCCAGCCGACACGCCCAAAGCTTAGCAGCAGCTTTTTATCAAGTGATTTAGAACATGCTGAAGTCTCTGTACTGTTATTTCACTACAAGGACGGTGCTACAGGCACACTTTTGTTTCTTATCTTGTTGGTTCTTTGCAGTAGAGAAATATGCAGTATGTATGCAAATGTAACCTTCCAGTTGACACATCTTTTCCATTTGTCACTACAATTAATAAAAGATAATCCAAGTAAATTCATCAGCATATTTTAATTATGGATTATTACAAATACATTATGTTTTGAAAGTAGCAAGTAGAATAGAAATCAACAATTTTGAAACATCAAAATGCATCGATAATTGTTAAAATTGCATCGTAGCCCTCTGAATCAAATGATGAGATGCCTGGAGGTTGCCAATCCTAATGTGTGTATGTATATATTTGTGCTCTTACCACACAGCCTGACCAGGTGTAGCGTGTTGTGAGGTTGATGACCTGGTTGTTCTCTGGCCTCAGCACCGCTTCCTTCTGGTAGCAGTTCTGACGGGAGAAGACACAGTAAAATCAGTAATACAATGACTACCTCAGTGAAATTTCTGTATCTACTCATCCTCGTCCTCTCTCATTTATTTCTATTTCAGATTCCACACTCATATTTTCAATAATGAAGTGCCCAAACTTGCAGCTGCGGGTTACACCTACATTCAGCTGTATGCATATTAAGTAATAACAGAACAGCAGTTAAAACATAAGAGACCATTTTTCCAGTCCAGAAAATGCATGAAATTAAATGTGTTTAATCAAAATGTAATTGAAATTATGGCTGGATTGCCTTATGGTCTATTGAAGCTGCTGTAAGTGGAATTAAAATTGACATGGATATTGATGGATTTCTCCATGTGACTGCTGAATATTAATGGAAAAAAATGGTGAGTGTAGAATGAAGGGCCTACTGTTTTGATTCTGGATAATTGACAACAAAATCTGTCTGAGAGCTGTGAAATGGTGTGATGTTTGTAGCTGTGCTGGAATGATGTCAGCATGTCATCACACGTCAAAAGATGTCAGCAATAAGAACACACCAACAAATGATTACATGGCGCCAAGAAATGCACTGTATTTGGTCAATCTTTTTTCCTTACTGTGCTAAACTATTGTAGCATTGTTCCTTTAAAGGACACAAAACACTTGATAATCCTTTTAGGTGTGGTAGTTGTACGTTTTATGCAGAAACTCACCCTATTTTAATAATACAAGAAACTGATACATCAGATCCTGTGTGTACTATAACCCTGGACTGGTTAAGCTTTAAATTGGTGAGTGAAGGCTACCAACATTCGCCTGCAGTAAATGGTCGCATTATACATTATTCATTGGTTGTGAAAGCAATTTAGTGTTGAATTTATAGACTGTATCATGTTATATCTCATAGTACTGGCTGACTGTGCCATATACAGGCAAATGCAACAGAGATAAAGAATCCATGCATGCTACTCTTATAGCCAGGACAGTGTTACATGAATCCAATTTCTGGACTCTAAAAGCTCTCATCTCAAAAGCTAAAAGCTCTCATCTAAAAGATCTCAAAGATATCAAACTTCAAAATGATGAAATATGGAATAAGTGAGTGATCCTACTAAATGTAGAAATGACTAAACGCATACAGTGCAGTCTGTTAAGTATGTGGACATTGGTGCATTTTCTAATATTTTGGCTCTTTGCTCAGATTGGATTTGAATTAAACCGTGGCTGTAAAGCTGCAAGTGCTGACTTTCACTTTTAAGGGTGTTCAAGTATTGTTCATCCAATAATATTGTTGAGTGAACAACATCGATATCAATCACAGCCCTTTTGTATACATCGTCCCACTGATTCTGAACAATGCAGCAGTACAAAGACAGGGTTGTAATTCCTAAAATGTTCATCCAATATGGATTTAAATCCTCAAATCAAGGCTGATAAGCACTTTACCCTTTTATCACTGTTACTTAAGATCTAATGTGTTCAAGTACTGGATTAAACAACAAAAATGCGTCAATGTCCAAACACTTGTCTATTTTTTTATTTTATGGAAAAGTCCATAAAATAAAAAAAAACTGAAAATCTACAGAAAATCTTCCTGCTGTCATTTTATGTGGAGCGGCTACAGTTCAGGCAGAACTCTCTGTTCAGAAATATGGATTGTACCATCCTTGATCACTGCATGTATCATCAATAATACATCATCTCCTGTGAGTGAAAAGCCTTTCAGTAACCGAGAGAGAAAGCTTTGTTTTATTCTGAGCAGCATGAGCAGCGTGTGATCCTAGTTCAAGTTCAAATGTGAAAATTAACTAAATTTGAGTCACAGGGCTTTTTCATTACAAGAATGACATGCAAATTAGTAAATGGAGATGTATTTCTCTTGTGGCTTGTCGAAAGACATGATGCAGAGGGTGTCAGTATCTCACCTTTTCAGGCCTCTTGTACACAGCTGGCCACTGAGAACTGTCATCAAAGTAGAGCAATATGTTCTGACAGCAGCGAGACTGCACAGAGGAGCGACAAAGAGAGACAGCATAGAGAGAGAGCACAGAGGAGGCAGTGAAACCACTGGAGATCCATACGACAAAAACTGTTTCCAAAGTCTGCAGGCTACGAAAGCAATGGGCAAAAAAAAGACAGAGCGGAAGTACAAAATAGACGTGTAGAAAGATCTAGTGGGATAGAGCAAAGGAAGGAGGAGGGGACAGAAAATAGAGGATGAGCTGTGTACAGCAGGAACAGCCGGAGGAAGGAGGAGAGAGAAAGAGTGATGGCATCAGTTTAGATAAGGTAAGCGGAAAGAAAAAGAGAGAGAGAACTAGTTGAGAAGATGATACGATACGAAGATGATAAGTAAAGTAAATAAAGGATGAAGACAGCACACACAGTGTGATGACACAAACACACAGTCGTCCTACCTTTGGATAGCGGAACCGGAAGTCCAGACGTCCAAAATCAGTGAGAAAGCAGAAGCGAGTGAGGAAAACCCAGTCCTGGAGTCAAGAAACAAAAGAGAGGGAAAACATTTTGAAACATGCTCACAATGACAACATGCCGATGTTCAGCAGATATTATTTTTACCATCTTAACCATCTTAGTTTAGTGGGCTGTACAACTGATGCTGATGGACCTGTACTGTACTGTACTGTACGCCTTTCTCAAAGCGCTTTTACACTACGTGCCACATTCACCCTTTCACAATTCAGGGTTTAGTATCTTGCTCAAGGATACTTCAAGGATACTTTGACATGTGGCACCAGGAGCTGGGGATCGAACCAACAACCTTCCGATTAGGGGACGACCTGCTCTGCCTCTGCGCCACAGCCGCCCGTCATACAATTACACATTTCCTTCCTGGGGCCCGTTTCACAAACATAACCCCATGTTTCCATGGTAACAATTAATGACAGCTGCTGACCAGTGGCACCAAAATGACGAGCAAAACATGACTTATAATTTGTGGTTTTCTAACAATGTGGAGCAAGCAATGAGAAAAGAAAGAGTTGGAAATATACAGAAATATACAGCTGGGAGTTTTCCCTTAAGGAAACAGTGGTACTGCTTATAATGCCAATTCCTGGATATTAAATGTTCATCTGCCTTTTTCCCGTAGTGGTCCCAGTAATGTTTGTTCTTAAAAGTGTAAAGGAGCAGATCAAATAACTTGCTTAAGTTTGAAAAACATTTTTTATAAGTGGAGTTGCAAGAACAATAGTTTACATTTAAGATGATTTATTATGATTCTAATTAATTATTATAGTTATCTATTAGTACTAAGTGTTTTGTTGGGGGGCTTGCTCTCCCATGCCTCTTGGTGCATGGAGAGCTGTTTGGAGGGAGAAGTGCCTTGAAGGTCCCAGCCCGCTTCCTTTCGGTGCCCGCTTTAACCTGTTCAAACAGAACTGCTGCTCCATTTTTTCCGCAAACAAATCTGGCGAGAAAACACTGATAATCTATGGTAAACAATATTAAATGATCTAATTCTGATAAATGATAAAATATACATCCCATGCTTGCCATCCGTTTCTGAATTACTGTCCCCCTCCCCACTGTTCAGTTTTTCCTCTGACATGATGACATACCAAAATCTGCCCATCCACTATATTTAGAAGAAACAGCATCACTGCTGTTTGTGAATTTCTTTTTTAAATTACATACCTACTCCACATACTTGTCAGTCGTGTCCAGACAGACAGAATTGCCACTACTTACTATCATCACAAGATGGTCCTTTTAACTACATTGTTGCAGAAAAAGTAATATCCCGCTTATCCAGGAACGCATTATTCATGAGGCTATTATAAAAGTCAGCTTTACGTGTGATTAGAAGAGAGCAGAGGAGCAGGTTCGATTGCTGACCTGGGCGGAGAATGCACTTCTGATATGAACAGCCAGGCTAGTTTGCGCCTATTCATTTTGAAATAGCAATGGCCAATGGGCGAACTCCACCACTCGACCGGACCACTGGTGTAACTTCATCACTCACTCAGAAACTCACTCAGTAAGTCATGGTAAGTTGCGGCCCAGCCAATAATGAGTGGTTTTGGGGAAGGATACAGAAAAAAGAGGAACTAGAGGAAATAAATGCAGCAATAATTAAAAAAAAGGAAGGGGGTTGAAAAGAAGGTAGAAGAGGGGTAGAAGAAAAAGTGGTCGCATCAAGAGGGTAAACTACTAGAGAGGGTAAACAGAGAGGGCATTAAGGGCCTGCTGAGCACATTAATAAGGGAGAGAGGTGGAGAAGAAGAAAAACTATCCATTCTTAATATTCAGCCATAAGCTTGGCAGCATGAGACCAGATGATAGTGCTGATGGTGTATTTTACTGAGCTTACATAAGGCACTGCAGCAGCACCACCATGGAGGATCAGTCAGTTCAGTGGTGGTCTGTCTATATGTCTATATATCTATATGTGTATATATCTCTATATATGTCTATATATATATATATAGATTATAATATACGGATATATACTATAGTAGTATATATAAGTAATATAATAGATAATAAGTATAGATAAGATAAATAGATATATACGTAGGGAGTATAGATAGTAATATGACTAGTAGAATGATAGTACGGATATAGTTAATATATATAATAAGATATATATAGATATACGTATAATATATACTAGGAGGGGGTCTATCTATTTCCGTATACGCTATGTAGTAGTATACGGTATCGTATATCTATTCATCAGTATCTATGGGTCATATTCATCTAAGAAGTATCATATAGTCCGATATCACTACTCTTATAATCTATGCGTATATCTATATCTATATAGTAATGAATAGATCTATCACGGGATTATCTATATCTTATCTATTTATCTATCTAGTATACGTCTATATATCCTATATATCTATATACTTGTATATATCTATATCTAATATCTATATATTATATATCGACTATCGTATAATCGCGTACTATTAAGTCACTATATATACATATCGTATTCGATACGCATATAGGTAGGCGCGCGGAGTCGGCTATATACGGTATGATATATCGGTATATATAATATTATTATTATATAGGTTGTATGAGTATTTACCGTATCACGGTGGAAAGTAGTCAGTGGGCGGGGCGCGGCGGGGGGGGCGCGCCGGGGTGGCGCCCGGACGGGCGCCGCCGGCAGGTGACGCGGAGGAAAAAAACATCCCAAACAATAACACACGAGAAGAACGGCTATTCTATATCTATATCTGTCTATATCTATCTACCTAATCTATGATCTATATCCGTAGTACTATATATGCTATATATCTAGGTACTGAGTACTACGTATATATATAGTATCTTATATATATATATCTATAGATCCTATATTATATGCTGCAATCTCATCTATATCGTATATTATATATACTGCATAGTAGTAGAGTAGTCTATATCGTGTATATATCTCGTATGATGACTGTCTATATAAGTCTATCTATACTCTAGTCTATCTAGTCTCTATCTCTCTTCTCTCTATCGATTATCTCTCTTATCTACTTCTCTCTACTTCCTATCTCTCTCTTATCGTTCATCTCGTAATCTATGCCTCTCCTCTAGTCTATCCTCTCTCTAGTCTTCTCTCTCTCTCTATCTCTATCTCTCTCTATCTATCTCTCTCTCTATCTGACATATTCTGTAGCTATGGATCATAGTGCTGGACACAACACTAACACCACATCACTTATATGTTGTTTTCACACACACTATTCTTTATCTGGAGAGCTGCCCAGAGTGAGTAGGCCCTACTGAGGCAGCTGGAATAAATGAAGAGTTTTGAACCAGAATGAGACATCAGGTCTTTAAGAAAAAGTAATAGCCAGTTTTGCTAAATTAGAGCAGCATTGCAGAGGATTTATTTAGACAAATGAAAGTTGAGAGAGACCAATGCTGGATTCAAGTCTGTAATACTATAGATTTGTTTTGGTGAATGTCTTTTAGTCCACAGGAATCAACCCATTTTCTCTGTCTGATCAACAGAGAATTCATCAGCAACAATTTTGCTTATTGAATAATTGTTTGTCATTTTTTCAAGGAAGAAATTATTATTTTTTAAATATATCTGCTGATTTTCTTAGTTTTGATGAACATCTTTTGGACTGTTAGTCAGAGACAAAATAAGTAATGTGAATATGTCAATTTGTGCTCTAGGGAATTGTGATGGACATGTGTGACTATTTTATAATATCTTATGGAGCAAATGATTAATCAATCAAGTAAATAAAATCATGAATGAAATAAAATCATCATTAGTTGCAGCCTTAACAACATAAAATATCCCCCAAAACTCTACACTAAATGTTGTGAAAATAAACAGCCACACAACAACTTTGCCTAGATAAATTAGAGTTTAATATTAACAGAATTATCTGAATATAATTAGGAAATATGACATTACAAGTAAACAAGATTACGAATTTTATCAAGCATTAAAACCTATTGATTCTGTGGACACAACTGTTTCAATACTCAACAAGTATTGAGGTATATTTTCTTTCAATATAAGTGCCAATACAATGCCTGAGTTTTGGCACCATTAAATTTTTTCTCGTTAGAATGAATTAATGAGTGTAATAAGTGTGTCCGCACACATGGGCTTGCAAAACGGTATTCTATCTGCTCTTTCTATTGTAGATGAGGAAATATCAGATTAAAGAGCTGAAACAGTCAACTCACTCTCTAGTCAGTGAAAAAGTTATCTTCTGATAACTGATTAATCATTTATTTTTCAAGCAACAATGCAAAATATTTTCTGGTTCCAGCTTCTCAAATGGGATAATCTGCTGCTTCGTCTACTTAAATTACAGAAGAAAACTGAAAACTTAATATCTTTTTACACAGCTGCTTGGACAAAAAGAAAATTGAAAACTTCCCTTTAAGCTTCATAAAAAATTGCAATTAATAATTAATCAAGAAGATTACAGCATATTAACTGATCAAAGACTGAGTAAACAAGACCAAGAATCTGAGAAAGCTGACTTTAAAAACATGGCTATTTACTCAATGCTGCAGACACTGTTTGATCAGACCAGAAGCATCGTGCCTTAACATTCAGCCCAGCTCTCAGCTGTAATAATTATTTGATGTATGACTACGTGTGCTTTCCTACTCCTAACTGGAGTGCTATAAGTTATCTGGCTATATGTTTTCAAAACAGGCATTCGTCATTTATCATTTCACAGTCAGTTGGACAGTTAAATTATTCTACTGTAATGTAGCTTCTTCAGAGCAGGAAATCACAATCATATAGTAAATAAATAACAAAATGCTGTGTTATAGTATTTCATATCATATCAGATGTATTAATGTATATCCGATCTATAAGATCTACTTCAGGTAATCTTTATTTTCCTTAAAATGTTAAAACAAGCGCATCCAAAACACACAATCGACACACCATGTCTCGAACCACAGGAGAATCTGTTGCACATTTCAGCATCTTTAAGTACTCGGGCACGGTTCTCCTCTCCGTTATTACAAGCGGCCT